TCCCCCCCCCCCCCCACCAAGGAAATGGTTCTGTAGAGGGAAGGTGGGGAGGGGAGGCGCCAAGTACCCCTGGATTCTTGCCTTTCTTCCCGAGACAAAGTTCCTTTTTCCTTCCCAGCTAGAACTAGGGCTCGTGTCTATGCTGATGAGAAGATGGAATAGGTGAAAAATCAAGGCATATGTTGGGGAGGGAAAAGGGGGCAAAAAGCTCTGCTCCTGAGGTCAGAAGGAGCTGTAGGACGTGTGCTGATGCAGCCACCGATAGCAAGACCTCAGGAGGAAATCCTTGATTGGAAACCACCCAACAGGAGGGAGGAGGGGGAAGGAAAGTCACGCGTTTCCTGTTAGAGATTATTTCTGTGAAGATCCTTGCTCTGTCTACTTTAAATACTTTGAGATGAACTTTGTAACGGGCAGCAGCAGTAACAGCCCACGTCTGTTCTCCCAGAGCAGTGGTGGTGCCGAATCACCTCAGTGTACACGGAAACAGTCCCGTTTGCAGTAGATGGGACAGAGCAGATCTCGCCCAATGCAGGAGTTCATCAAACATCAGCCCTGGGAGGCTCTGCTGTGGACACAGCTGCCAGGCTGACCTTCCGAACCGTGGAGAGGCAGGTTCAGACCATCTGTCCATCTGCACCAGGCTCAGCCTCGCCTTCTGGCTTCCCCTGGATGACTGGGCTGCCTGCGCAATAAGCTGGGAGTCCAAGTTCCACGGGGACATACATATTTGCCTTTGCATGAGCCCAGCCCCTGGCACTGGCTGCCAAGTTATGTTCTGCCAATATTTATTGAATGGCCGGCTGGACGTACATAATGCAGATTGCCACATGTGACCCTCGTGCGCTCATGTGGCCCTTCCCCATAGGTTGTCTTTGCACCTAGAGATGAGGCTGGGGCTCCAGGTGGGCCCGCGGATGCGAAGGAGAGAAAGTGAGGCGGAAAAGCACTTGTCATTGTCAACTCGTCTCTTTTTGATCGATTACCCCTCAGATGAGCCCTTCTGTAGAATCCTTTTGGGCCCCAGTTTCCTGGCTGAGTTCCTAAAATATGGTGAGGGTATTTGGGAAGCCAATAATAGTCCGAAGAGCAAGACTGGGGTAGTTAGCATTCAATGGGAAGTTTTTCTGGCATTCAGTGGGTTTTATTTTTACAGAATCACTTGTCTCTACAAATTTTATATGTAAACTGGCTTCCAATTTTTGTGA